CCACCTCTTCCGATTTTCCAGTGGAGGTCCTCTCTTCGTCGAGATAGGATTTTTTCTCAAGTTGGCTTTCGTGTACAGTGGGTGAGTAATTGGGTACCAGAGAAGGTGAGAAAAGCATCTACCGATTGCCAGAAGGGCGAGCACGATCAGCGCAAGACATTGACTACTATATGTGGATGAAGGGCAAAAATGAACAGCGGCTCCGCAGTAGTCGAAAGATACTGGATCGTTGGCAACAATATTTTACCGAGATATCCGATATCATATATCGATATATCGAGATATCGAGATATCATGTTCGCTCATCCGCCAGCCCTGGGACGCTTAATGAATGCTGGTCCAGTTACTTGCATCACTACAGAAGAGGTCACCAAGGCAATCAACAGCATGAAAAATCGGAAGGCGCGGGCCCAGACGACTTCCCTGCAGAGTTCTGGAAAAAGGGGGAACAGCGATAGTTCGGAATTCCATGGCTTACGCGGTTCTCCCATGCAGTTGTCAACTCTGGCCAGCCGTACTCCAAATGAATGGGCACGAGCATCAACCTACCAATATTCAAATGTGTTGCATATCACGAAGATATTTGAGCGGATCCTCGATTAGCGACATCGCAACATCATCGAACTAAGCATCAATCAATGCGGATTCGTAAGAAGTTTGCGACGACCGACGCGACCACTGCCGCTTGCATACATTCTGAAGAAACAATGTTAGAAACAAATGTCCCCATCTGGCCTTCCTGGACTTCAGAAAAGCGTACACATTAACTAATCTGGGATGCGCTTCGTGAACACATATTGTCAAAAGTTCCCATCAAAAGGATCCGTAGAGCCGAGTGAGCCGCACATCTCACTCGCAAGCCTAGCCGAGTGAGATGTGCGGCTGGTCTCTCCCAAGGATCAGCGCTCTCACCGCTGCTTTTCATCCTCGTAATAGATACAATTACACGTGACTTGCAAAGTGATGCTTCGTTTACTCTGCTATGCCAACTGCAATCCTTCTAGCAGCCACCAGCAGGGAGGAACTACCGGATCATATTCAGAGTTGGTGCGATCGTTTTACCCAATAAAGGCTCCGCCTCAACATCAGAAAGACCGAATACTAGGAAACAGTCTGACGACGAGATAAAAGTGAGAATAGGCGCAGCGTGGATGTGATGGAGAAAAGTGACCGGAGTGCTTTGCGACATACATAAGCCAGTTCGTCTGAATCTAAGCTGTATCCGAAAATGTTCTGTTCTTTCGCATATGTGGACCTCAATGTTGGCCGATCTGGGCCTCTACTCGGACACCACTTGGAAAGCGAAGAAATATGGATTCGCAAGAAAATCGCATGGAGTACACCTTGCTACAATGCGTTAGATCTTCTGCACGGACACCCTTTGTATCAAAGAGGTGTTCTCGCTACCTGTCCGAATGTGCGGCTTGTTATTTGGCGTAGAACCAATCCACGACGGTCGTGCTGTTCAAGAAAGGCGACAAAGAAGATTAGCGAATTATCGTCCTATCACGCTTCTGCCAACTTTATAAGGTGTTCACACGCTGCATACTGGCACGTATCCGCAGACCACTAGAAGAAGCCCAGCCGATAGAACAAGCGGGTTTTCGTCGGAAATTCAGCACTCTGGACCACATCGTAACTTGCCGACGCCTCATCGAAGCAGCCCGTGAGCACCGCCTTCCTCTCGTGATGACCTTCATTGATTACAAGAAGGCATTCGATTCGGTGGAGCCAGTGAAGGTCTGGGAGGCGCTGGAAGAGCAAGGTGTTGAAAGGATCTACGTGGATGTACTGCGAGAATGCTATTCTGAATGCACAACAGTTTCATCCTTTCTACAATGATGTTGTGGTAGCAGTTCAGAAGGGCGTACGGCAAGGTGATCCGATATCGCCAAATCTGTTTTCCGCTTGCCTAGAGCACGTCATACGCCGCCACAAAGCAACTTTGGCGTCAAGCATCGACGGTTGCGTCTCAATCATTTGCGATTTGCCGACAACATCGTGGATCACGGACCCTCCAAAGCACGCTTCTAGATACTGCATCGTCTGTTTGAGGAGGGGAGCCACTACGGTCTCACCATCAACACCTCTAAGTCCAACTGTCGGAAAGGAAGAACATCGAAGACGTGGACGAGTGTGTGTTCTTGGGGATCCAGCTTAACATGAACGACCTGACTAGAGAACTAGCAAAACGTCGGTTGCATTTAGTTCCATAGGGAGCGTAATAGAGAGGAACAGCAACAACCGCAAACTGCGTTGACTTTTCAGATCCTCGGTGTTGTCTGCCCTCAGCTATGCAGGAAGAACCTGCGCACTAAGGAAATCACAGTAAAGGCAATAATTATACATCCAGGCATCAACTGAGCGCCGCCTTCGCCAGAGTCATGCCGCAAGTCAAAGATGCTCTTTTCACGTCGATGATGCGAAGCACAGATTCGCCGGACAGTTGATGAGGAGAGATGGCGGATGATGGAGTTTGGCTACCGTGTGATAGTACACCCGGAAGAAGAAATGGCCACAAGGCAAGCCTCCTCTGTGTCTGCGTAGATTCTCTAGCTCATCTAAACAACGTCCATGATCTTGAGTTCTTTAGGGTGACCGCGCACCGGACAACCATAGCCCAAGATCGAGAACAATGGAAAAGAAGTTGGGATCTGGACAAAGCCAACCGTACTGAAGGATGGGGTCGTATAAGCATGTTGGCTAACTAAGAAATTCGGCTCAGCGTCAACTTCACGATGCTTCGGTGGTTGCTGGGCGCCTCACGACTAGGCCACGTTTGCAAACGAAGTGATTTGGTACGACGGACATGGGCGTTGGCGCCTATTCACACGGTGCCAGATGCGCTTGAACCACGTCATACGAGCTGCACCTCACCCTGTCGCTGCCACCGTATATCGGTTTGAAGTCGACGACAAACGACCATGTGGGAACTATGGCAAGACACGATCAACGAGGGCGTGAAAGTTGCAGAACTGCGCCGCGAAGATGCCTTGAATCAAACGAGCTGGCGCTTTTTGATCCGAAAAACGGACCCTGCATTAGCTGGACAACGTAAATAAGGAGACCATGCCACTCGGTTCGCTTAACTTGGTTGTTTGATTATGTTGATTTCGCAACGTAAGTACACGTAACTAGGGCTCTTAAAGGTGATCGTTCTGACAAGTGTGAAGGGGGCATCAGGATCCAGCCCATTTCCTTGAAAATTAGTATTCGTCAGGTTCACTTGCTGGGTGACCTTACCACATATGGAAAATCAGCGAGCATTCGCTCTGCTTGATCTAGGACTGGTGTCATGAGCACGATGTTGTGGAAGCGAAGATGAGGTCCCGCTTCTGCTCCGCAGATCTGAAGGTGTTCGAGAACGAACACCTTCAGCTCTGCGGACTTTCAGGTGAAGAGGTACCCCGTGCTTTCGTGACACTCCAGTGAGCGTCTTAATCGTGTTCATGAGATCGACCGGTTAGACTCTTTTTGAAACCCTGCTTGTGCAAAGGAGTAGGCCTAGCAGCGAAAAGGTGGTGTCTCCTATCAATTTGTGCAATGTGGTGTCAGCATCGAGATCCATTCGACTGAACTTGTCCAAACTTCTTAGAATGGCCACGTTTATAGAAATACGATAATTTTTAGCGCTTTCGTTCAACATTACCGTCGTAATATGTTATTTCACCGCTAAATCATCCCAACTTCGGACGCATGATAGTTGCTAACGCCATGAGACGGTATTAAGCAGCTCAAATAAGCGTGTTAGTTAAAGGAAGTGGTCACGATAATTCTCATAGGGACGATAAGGAAAGCTGTGTATTGGAGTGGATAGGGGTCCTGCCCAATGTTAGAACACGTGAAGTTTCAGTGGCAGTGGCGCCTTATCAACGGAGTGATAAGGCGCCGAAATCCACTTCCGTTCAGCAAAAACCAAGACTTATCGATGTGGAAAGGGGTGCGATAAGAGCGTGCTAGATATGATACCGTTATCGTTATCGTCCCGTTTTCATTCTGGAGTGCACCTCTTATCAAGCAGCCGCACCTTCTTATCTCATCGTATCATATCTTCCATGGGCTTACACTCGTCCAACAATTACTGCCTCACACCTTATCGATTGATAACGCGAGGGTAGCAAATCCAGCGTGGAAGCCAGCGTGATCGCTTCCTTCAAAGGCAAGCCCCGGGTTGGAACTGGTGTACAAAAGAGCTACTTAATGATGACTGACAGCACAGGGCGATCAAAGAAGGCAAAACGCGCGAGAGGGCACGACATTCGAGAGAGCACGCTGATCTCCATATCGATGCAGTAGTGGAAAGGTTGCAACCGGGGTCGATGGTTGCAGGGCCGTGATGGATTAGCGCCTTAGTCGCGTGGTTAAGGTAGCGAAGCCGGCTTCTACTAGTCAGACTGAGTTCGAAGTTTGCCTTCGAGTGAAAAGAGCGTCTACGTTCGGCTGTGGTTCTTAATATACTTGAACTGTCTCATCCTAGTGCAGTTCTTAGAGTATACATGGTGGTACATATCAGGTTGGGAGGAGAGTTCTGGAACACCTAATTCGCGGTCTTTCTGGATTTCTCCCGAATGCTCTGGAATTTCCCATGGGTGGTGGAGCGGACTGTGCTGCGTACGGGGCTCGAATCAGCTTGTCCAACAAGTTTTGTCCAAGTTTAAAACTGAAGTTACAATTCCTCGACTTAGAAATTATGGGAGGATGGTGATGCGGTCAAATTTTTTGGAATTTTGACGGTATTTCCCTCGGATGGTGCTCTGTCTGCAGGATTACGAGTGCAAGGGCTACACACTGCTAGGT